TGGGGGGGGGTAGCGGTGTTTAGGGGTTTAGCGGCGCTGGCGGCCGCGCTAGCGGCGTGTCCGTGGGGGTTGTCGCCCTCCTCGTGTGCTCAGGGAAAGGCTGGAGCCGCCCGAGCGCCCGTGGGCACCGCGGGGCTCGGGGGCGACGCGGTGCGTGGCTGCCTGGGGGGGGGGGGGGGGGGTGCGAGGTTTAACGGCGCATTGAGGCTTGGGAGAGCACCGCGAGGGGGGTGAGGCCCGGCTGGGGAGCGTCCCCGGAGCTCGATGCGGCCGAGGAGCGGCGGGGGAAGGGGGGAGTCCGGCCGCCAGCGGGCGCGCTCATTGTCCGGCCGCGGCCGCCGCCGCCATTCAAGATGGCGCCTGCCGGCCCCTTCTTCCTCCTTCACCTCCGGCCGAGGAGCGGCGGGGGAAGCGGGGAGTCCGGCCGCCAGCGGCCGCGCTCATTGTCCGGCCGCGGCCGCCGCCGCCATTCAAGATGGCGCCTGCCGGCCCCTTCTTCCTCCTTCACCTCCCCCCTCCCCCTCGGGGCGCCTCCGCCAATCGGCGGCTGCTCCCGCCCCCCGCGTGACCCGCCGCCCAATCAGCGCGCAGCGGGCCATGGCGCCAGCCAATCAACGCCGAGGCGGCCGCGCGCGGCGGGTGAGGCGCTGGGCGGAAGACCGGGAGGGGCGGGGAGCCCCTCCGTTGATTGACGCGGCGCGCGCCCAATCGGAACCGCTCCCCGCGGGTGCCTCCGCCCAATGAGGCCGCTGTGGGGCGGGGCGGGGCGGTTAGGTGACGTCAGCTGGCGGGGCGGCCAATGGCGAGGCGCCTCTCGTCTATATAAGGGCGGGCGGGGGCAGGCCGAGCGGCGCCATTTCGCGGGGACGAAGGGACGGAGCGGGTCGGGCCCGGCGCGCGAGGGGGGCGGCCCCAACCCGGCTCCATCCCCCGCCTCCGCCGTCCCGGAGGGCTCCGGGACCCTCCCCGGACCCTCCCCGGCCTCCGCAGCGACCCCTGCCTGCGGCCACCGGCGGCGAGGGGGACGCCTCCGCCCGGCTTCTTCTTCCACCACCTTCCTCCCTCCCCA